GAACCTCAATTGGTATCATTAAGTAAATTAATTGTACTTGAGTTCTTCACTTTGTTGTACACAGTACTTTCATGGTGTAATGCGTATCTACGAGGGGTGATCAAAAAGTTCGCAAACTTATTGAATAACTTCCATACAAGAAACAATATTTGGTTTTAATGTAGATTATATTTTAAATTAATCTTCCCCAATTTTAATGCACATCAACCACCGTTCTGCGCTTGCGCGAATCACGTGATATTGGCGGTCACGTGACCCCCTGCGTAGCGTTCTGTCACAAAAGTTAAAAGATTTTTCCGCGTTTTATATTTCTTTCCATGGGAGTTAATTTTTATGACAAGAACAGTTAATTTGTCAGAAAATGGTCATATCTCTGCAACAGAATGGGTGGATAATAACATCCTTTCCAAAAATAAGCATGGCGACCATTAAAATACATAGCTTCTCTCTCAGGAGAGACCTTTATTCAAGGTGGATAGAGAATGGGTGCATCCTTTTAATCATATCTAATATGTTTAAAATCTAAAGTAAACAATATCTTAGGTATTTAATACTCATATCATTGTTCAAATATTCAACTATTTTTCGAAGTGCTAATTGGAGGTTTTTGATAGCAAATTGCTTAATTTAAAATACAAATCTTTTCAAACTTGCTTTCACTAGGCAAGATGACATGTATCATTTTTAGCCATCAGCTTTCCTTCACTAAAACAATTAATTCAATCATTAATTGAATTTATAGGAACTCATTTATCTCAATAAACTGTGTACAAATTATTATATGATACTGTAGAGGGATTTCTAAGATATTACAATAAATTGTACAGTCGTTTGGTGAACGAGTTCGACTGAGACAACTATTTTTCACAAGTGACCTAAATAGTGACGTCATTTTCACATTGTGACGTCACAAACAAGGAGAGAAACTTTATTCATCATATGGTATTTATAGACCTTGTGTATGGCTATGTGTGTACCGAATTTCATACTAATCTGGATTGTGGTTTTGAAGATAAAGAGATAGTTTGCGAATTTTTTGATCACCCCTCGTATGATTGTTCATGCGTAATTGCATGCTATATTATGGCGTCGGGCTTGCCCGATCGTCATCTAGGGATCAGTCAGGAGTCAGGTTTACGCGACCACACGTGTCAGTGGATGCATCCGCAATACAAAAAAGCAAAAGCTGTAAACCAATTTCTTTTAAAACGTTCACAATGAATAAAAGCTTGAATATAAAATCAAATCAATTGTATTTTCAATTAATACTACTACAAAACAACGATATTATGTTTAATTTTTACGCAAGAAAAACGTTATGGTTGTTGCGGATGAATTTCTACTGAGAGGGTGCGTCGAATGACATGAATCACATTTTGGGACCGATTACTGTAATACAAACAATCTTAAATAAGGTAAAATAATTACAAAATAAACACGAATACAACAAGACTATAAAGATTGAATTTCTTAATCTTAGCTTTACTTTTACCAATTTTAGCCGAACAACTTACGATATTGACCAGTAATGCCAGTATTACTGTATTTATCCATTTCCTCCATTTGTTTACCGCGCCCTATCGTAAGTCGATCGTACTTGTAACATTAGAGTCATGGTTGTAGTTAAGATGCAATCACTATACAACAGAACAACACTGACAATGGCAATTAATTAAAATATATTATGAAACCCTTCGTATGTCTTCGATTGACTGAAAAAAAATTAGATTGATATAGAGGATGGACATTTCTGACGATGTCTGGTCAATTCGAACCCTGACTCATTCGGACCAGGACACAACGTTATCAGGCCCTATACTGTAAATGTGTTAAGACTATTTATTTAATTTTATTATTATGTTACCGGAGTCACTCGCTTCACCTATTTGCAGATCTTTTGAAATTGTTTTTCTTGTTCAACGCCATTGAAGCCTTTCAGGCTTTTGATTTTAATTTTCAATGTGTATTTTGTAAAATTTAATGCGTATTTCTGCAAATACGCACCTTATCTGGTGCTCTGCATTTACAAAAAAACAGTCCTTTAAAAAAGCTAAAAAAAATTTGAAAATTATTTCTGACATTATCTTTATTTAGATAAACTAGACTTTGAGGTATGCGCTCACAGGATGACATTGTTATGAAATTAATGCATTCATGTTCCTAGAGGACATTTACAAAATAGGTACATTGACATATCCATTATGTTAGGTACTAATGAAATAATCAATGAATGTGAATATAATGCTGTTTTTCATTTGTGTTCATTTTTGGAATTTTGTAATGCAAAGACTTGAGCATGTTGAGTACAAGTTTGCAATAGCTGAGGTGTTATGAAGTAGTTTTAGGTCACCTAAGTAAACTCAGGTGACCTTTTGCTATCTGTTTTCGTGCGTAGTTCGTCGTGCGTCGTGTGTTAACATATGAACATTTTCAGCTTCTTCTCTACAACCACTCAACCAATTTCCACCAAATTTTACACAACACATCTATTGGTGAAGGGGAATAAAATTGTGAATTCCATTGTCCCTGCCTAGGGCCTGAGGGGTGGGACCAAAACCACTTTAAAAATCTTCTTCTTTACTCCTGGACATCAAGCAGTCAAACTGTTAGCAGGAATGGAATGATAATTGAGTCCTCTACCAAAATTATGAAATTCATGGCCCCAGGGTCAGGGGTTCTAGTGCTAAGGTGGGGCTCTATTGATTATATAGTGAAAATGCATTATTTCTTTAAAAATCTTCTTCTCTACTCCTGGGTATTAAATAAACTAACTAAGGACATAGTTATGATGAGGAAGAATACCTTTTGCAAAATTGTGAATTTTATAGCCCCAGGGTGAAGGGTTCTAGTGCTAGGGCGGGGCTCTATTGATTATATAGTGAAAATGCATGATTTCTTTAAAAATCTTCTCTGCTCCTGGGTATTAAATAAACTGAGAACATAATTATGATTTCAGAGGAAAAATACGTTTTGCAAAATTGTGAATTTTATGGCCCCAGGGTCAGGGGTTCTGGTGTAAGGGCTAGTCTCTATTGACTATATATCCATATCAGTGAAATATTCTGGAGAGGGACGTTAAAAGGTATTGATTATATAGAGAAAATGCAGAATTTGTTTGAAAATCTTCTTCTCTGCTGCTGGGTATTCAACAAACTAACTAAGTATATAGTTATGATAAGCAAGAATGTTTCTTCCAAAATTGTGAATTTTATGGCCCCAGGGTCAGGGATTCTGGTCTTAGACTGGGGCTGTATTGGTTGAATAGAGAAATTGCAGAAATTGTTTGAAAATCTTCTTCTCTGCTGCTGTGTATTAAATAAACTAATGTAGGATATAGTTATGATGAGCAAGAATCTTTCTTCCCTAAATTGTGAATTTTTATGGCCCCAGGGTCAGGGGTTCTGGTCTTAGACTGGGGCTCTATTAATTATTTTGTGAAAATACATTATTTCTTTAAAAAATCTTTTTCTCTGTTCCTGGGTATCAACTAAACTAACTAAGTACATAGTCATGATGAGGAAGAATGCTACTGTGAATTTTATGATTCCAGGGTCAGGGGTAATATAATAATAATAATAAAGCCTTTATTTATCCAGGATGACATACTTTAGCAAAAATTCTAGTTTTCAAATATGGTACTGCATTAAAACATACATACAGACAGTTATTAGTAAAACACGGTTTAAAAGGAATAGAGCCATTTTGTTAGGGCGGGGCTCTATTGGTCATATAGAGAAAATGCAGAAATTGTTCAAAAATCTTCTTTTCTGCTACTGGGTATTAAGCAAATGAACTACCTATATAGCTATGATGAGCAAGGGCCATTCTTCCTGAATTGTGAATTTCAATGCCTCTGGATAAGGGGTACCATTGGGGGGGGGGGGGCTCTACTTATATACTGAAAATGAATTAATTGATTGAAATTTTCTCATTTGTATTACTCAAATATTTTTGATAAACAAGTTAAGGTGCCTTTTCCAAAATTTTGAAATGTGTGGACCAAGGGTCAGGGGTTCATGTGTGGTAGTGGCACTATACTGATTATTGCTGAATATTACCGATTAGTCGAAATGCATTTTTTGTACCCCTATCCTGTCTATGGGTATTAAGTAACCAAACTAAACATGCAAAGTGAAAAGTTATGATTAGCAATGGTGCTGCTTTCAAAATTGTGAATGCAATGATGTCCAGTTTAAACAGTGCTAGAACATTAACCAAAGTAAATCGTTGTAAAGTTGTTGCATGATGTTCAGGTGACCTATAAGGCCCATGGGGCTCTTGTTATACAATATAAAGTCTGTCCAGATTTTATTTTGTTCTACAGAGAAACGTTCACACATGTATGATGATGTTTTTAAAGCAATATGAGCTGCATGTTTGACGTTGGAAAATTTTATTGCAAATTTGTGATTAACTAATTTAATGACAGAAAAATAAATCATTTATAAACTTCTGTTGTTCATATTCGCGATGGAAATTTTTTTATTAGCTTTGATTGAAGCAAAATTGAATTATTGTCGTCCTGTACAATAATTATTTCTTATATTAAACTGTATGTTCAGTTGTATAGAAATATTTGTTCTGAAACATTTTTAAACTTTATTTTGGGCTTATTGGTCATTAGGGTTTAAATTACATACAAATTAATCATAATAGCACATTTTACCAGCAAAATAAAATTTTCGAAAATACAGCTCATATTGCTTTAAGCATTGATTAGAGAGAAGATTACGTCATGTTTTATTGATACCTAGTTACTAAGGGGCCAAGTCATAAATACAGTCTTTTCAACCAAAGCTACACAATTTCAATTTTCAGAAATTCTCATGGCAAAATAAGTTCTTATTTGCCTTTGTTCTGTATCCCATATTTTTAAATAAAAAAACTATTACCTTGAATCAGTATAACTTAATCTTTATTTGTCTAACTTTTTATCCTCACAATAAATGAAATCAGAGCAGTGCCCTATGGAGCATTAAAACTGATTTCTTTGTCATTTTTGCAGAGGAAAAGGAGATATTTCGAGCCCCATTCAAATATTCAGAACGATAATGAACAATTACAGAACTATTGTGCAGATGCAGATCAAACTGGAAATTCAGAAAGACACATCAATACATATGTAAGTAAAATGCCTCGGATATGTATCACTAGTTCAGATCAATTACAGGGACAAATAAGGTCTCAAACCAGGGTGGAAAGTTTTAAGTGTGAATTTTGTGGGACAGCATTCTCTGTATCAGATGACTTTGCTGTCTACATGAGGACACAAACTGGTAATTATGTATCTTATTGTTGTGATGCATGTGAAAAAACTTGGAACCAATCAGGTACCTTACAGAGAAATACGAGGATACACACAGATAAAACACGTTATAAAAGTGATGTATTTGAGAAGTCATTCAGTGAGACACACATGAGTACACACACAGCTGAAAAGCCTTATAAATGTAAAGTGTGTGAGAAGACATTTAGTTGGCCAGGAAATCTAAACAGTCACATGAGGACACATACTGGTGAAAAACCATACAAATGTGATGTGTGTGGGAGGGCTTTCAGCCAATCACAGAACCTAGAGGGTCACATGAGGACACATACTGGTGAAAAACCATACAAATGTGATGTGTGTGGGAAGGTTTTCAACCAGTCACAGAACGAACAGAGTCACATGAGGACACATACAGGTGAAAAACATTACAAATGTGATATGTGTGAAAAGACTTTTTCTGTATCAGGCAACTTGCAGAAACACATGAGGACACATACTCGTGAAAAATCTTTTAAATGTCATGTATGTGGACAGGCATTCAGCAGATCAAATAGCTTAAAAATACACATGAGTTCACATACAGGTGAAAAACCTTATAAATGTGATTTGTGTGGAAAGGCATTCAATCAGTCAAATCACTTACAGAGTCACAAGAAGATACATACAGGAAAAAAACCGTTTAAATGTGATGTGTGTGGGAAGGCATTCAGAGAGTCACATGACTTACAGAGACACGTGAGGATACATACAGGTGACAAACCATTTATATGTGATATTTGTGCCAAGGCATTTAACCATTCAGGTCACTTACATAGACACTTGAGGACACATACAGGTGATAAACCTTATGAATGTGATGTGTGTGGGAAGGCATTCAATCAGCCAAGTCACTTACAAAGTCACAGGAGGACCCATACAGGAGATAAACCATTTAAATGTGATGTGTGTGGGAGGACATTCAAACGGTCAGATGACTTACAGAAACACATGAGGTTACATACAGGTGACACACCATATAAATGTGATGTTTGTGGCAAGGCATTTAACCATTCAGGTCACTTACAGAGTCACATACGGACACATACAGGTGAAACGCCTTATACATGTGATGTGTGTGGAAAGGCATTTAACCGTTCAAGTTCCAAACAGAGACACATGAGGATACATACAGGTGAAAAAAACTTATGAATGTGGTGTATGTGGATAAACATTCAGCTGATTAGATACCTTACAAAAACACATGAGGATTCATATAGGTAATAACATATAAACGAAGTTGGCATTGTCAGACAAAATGCCATGAAAATGAACATCAGTGATATACCTATTAATGTGAGCTGTTTTCAAATCAGATTTATCAAAGAAGAATATGAAGTGACATTCAACACAATTTAATCAAACCTGTTCAAAAAATCCTTAATAAAAATCTAAATTATTTTTGATTTTATCCTTATAAACATCAACTAGACTTTGACCTGTGTTGCCTAACGGCGTAGCAAAGAATGGGTTAAAATCCCAGTTAGCTACAAAGTTATGATGCAAAATTAGAAAATCCCGTTTTTAGCTTACCTGAGCCGAAGGCTCAACAGCTTAAAATCTGATAACATTTTGTCTGGCGTTCTTCTGTCTGTCTGTCTGTAAATCTTTCACATTTTTTACTTCTTCTCAAGAAAAGCTGGGCCAATTTCAACCAATCTTGCCACAAAACATCCTTGGGTGAAGAGGATTCAAGTTTTTTTCAAATGAAGGGCAATGCCCTCATTAAAGGGGAGATAATTGGGCATTAATGAAAATTTAGTGGTTTGTTTTAAAAATCTTCGCAAGAACCACTGTGCCAGAAAAGATGAAACCATCCTCAGGTAGTGTAGATTTAAGTTTGTTCAAATCATGACACCTGGGGTACGACGGGGCCATAATTGCCAACCAAAGTTTTACATAGAAATATATAGGAAAATTCTTTAAAATCATCTTTAAGAATAACAAAACCATAACTGGTTGATATATTAATTTCTACTTTTTCATACCCACAGTGCTCAGGTATGCGATGTGGCCAATGTGGCTTTTGTATTTTTTATTTCTATTTTTACTTATACCATTTAGCAGAATTTTTAGCGAGGATTTAATTTTGGCATTATTAGCGAAGGTACCGACATCGCAAAAAATTATTTGTGTTACAGTTGTAAAAGTTTAAGTTAACATTTCAAAATCCCTAGTACCGTATAGCCGGTTATTTTGGCGGGGATATAATTTTGGCCTATTTTGGCAATTTATAAAAATTCACCAAAATAAAAACCGCCTAATTTGTAACCTACACACCTTGTGTTTGTATATTCCCCATTTTTGAATGGTCACGGCAAATCACCGGTAGAGCTTTCACCGTTAAATAAGCCAACAAATAGTTACAAATAATTAAAGATATAATTATCCATACTGATATTATTTTGATTAAACAAAAATATTTAGTTTATATAAATTTATCTTTTTTTATTTAGATTTCATCAGTGCCAAAACTTTTACTCCAATCAATCCTAAAGTTATAAAGGTGTCATGCTTGCTAAACAATGGATTCAAATCATCTGTTATTTAAACGGCACACTTATGACCAATGAAGTTTTTTCAACAATTAATGTTTAAAACTACATGCACTTGGAATGCATTGTCAGCAATATGTATATATAAACGGATTTAGCTAACGGAAAAAATAAGTTTGTGATTTACTTTCGTTTTCAATTGTATACAAATATTTTACTTCTTTAAAAATGTTCTTTACATTATTATTTCTGAGGATTTCCAGACACTTTGGCAAGTTTGGGAGGACGTGTGCAATCATAACAAGAGCGCATTCTTAACCTGCAACTTAATGGTAATAAATTTGAATTCACCAAAATAATATCCACCAAAATTATTGATATATCCTAACAACCTAAAATCGCAAAATTTGTTTCTCGCAAAAAAAAAAAAACGGCTATACGGTAGTACATCTCACTAAAAATTAAATACCCAATTTTAAGGACAAATGCTAAAGATGCTAAAGAACTATATGCGGTATATTGCATATATTTGCCCCCACAAAAGTCAAATTTTGACAACTTCCTGAAAAATGCTGAATTCAATAAATTGCATGAGAAATATAAATCAACAGAAAATATTATAGTGTCAAAGCAGTGTATTCACAATTTTTGTTTTTATGACGTCTCAACAATTTTAGCTTTAAAATTTATGCAGCGCAAGTTTGTTCAGGAACAATTTTGACATATTTCATTGATATTATCATTCTACACATTATATCATTATCAAAATATTGATCCTGAACACACATACGCTCGGTGACTTTTACTCAAAATATCGACGAAATATGTACATTTTTCTGTAAAATTCATAAAAATCTGAAATTTACGTTATGTTTGTGACGTCATTATGTACAAATGGCATCATTACTTATGAAAATATTCAGTGTTTTGAAGTCAGCATATACTCTCTTGTTTAAGAACTTAATATGATATATCTTCATCAAAGTTTGATTTGGGGGGGGCAAATATTGGTTATTACCGAATAAAGTTCTTTGCATCTCACAAAAATTTCCACTTGTTCATTAAGAACTGGGTACATTATGTATTACAAGGCGGCCCTGTAAAATCGGCAAACATTAAACGCACGATAACATTTATTAAACTGTGTCAATTTATTGTTTAGGTTCCCCTTTGTGAAAAATTGGTATCAATTTTCTTCAGCTCACGTGACCTTTTGTGTAACACTCAACACCGGTCATATATTCCGGAAATCACCTATTTTGGACGTTTTTCTACTCTTCAAGTTAACATTTCGATGTGGCTACATCCGAGTACATATGCAAAACTTTGCAGAAAGAACAAGTGTACTTTGGCAACTAATATGCAAGAAAAAAAAATAACTGTACAAAAGTGCGGCCACGTCCGTTTTTAAGAAAAACTTTAGTTGAAAATACTTCGTTTTTGGATAGATGTAACTTTTCCTCCTCCTCATTACCGCCGAAATATGGCTGAAATATTGCCGACTCGGCGTTAAACAATACAAAATCAATCAATCCTCCTCATTAAAATCTATACTTTTAAAGAAATTAAATGTTGAAGTCTGAATCTGATTGTGTTATTATCTAATCTGTACTTTTACGGAAACTTATTGTTTAAATCTGTATCTGAATGTTATGAAAACCACATAATCTTTTCTACGTAAAATTTATAAAGGGACATTGCATGGAAATCAATGACGCAATACATTAAAAACAAGACGTCACCATGTGACATATGTTGAATAACAGAATTTTTCAGTCTTCCATAATAAAATAACAATATGATAAATTTTCAATCAATACATTCAATGAAAAACAGTCAATTGATTTATACACGTACCTCTTATCAAAACGAGCGCCTCCTTCGTATTTGACATGATGTTGACGTTATGTTCAAGAAAAGATTTTTTCATGTTTTATTGAAAATAATCATGCAGCTTTTCAAAAGTATGATTTAGATTATATTTATCATGCTGTATGTTAACATCAGTGCTTTCAAGACAGGTTTAAATTAAACATGCAATTCAAAAGCGGATCCAGGGCCGTTGCATCGAGCCCCCCCCCCCCTTTCCCCCGAATCCACGGTTTGATTGTTAAAATTTCCTTGTATTTTGTTAAACAAGCATGTAAATAATTATTTTTTTTATTACTAGCATTAAACACAAACTTATCAGTAGATCTACACGTACGGTATGAGATATTCCGAAAATAATGATTTACCGCCATGGCAATGTATTATAAAATTCCTGCAAGGTGACGATTGGTTTTCTCAATCAAGGGTGGGGGGGTGCATATTATAGCAGACGTTCGTTCCCCGGGCCTTACCAGGAATGTGCTCCAAACCCCCATGGGGCTTCAACGCAGCTCCAGACACCCTGCCCTCTGTACCACCTCTCCCCTGTTATTAAATTCCTGAATCTGCAACTGTAATCTATAAGGAGTTTAGATTAAGAAATAATATTATTTTAACTAATATTGTATGGCTACAGTTGTGAGTGTTTTCCGAAATTTTTGTGTAATTTTAAAAGGAAACATGGTGCAATTCTTTAACATTATTTTCAAAACTAAGGAGTTGTTTTTAAGCAATATATTTAGAATAAATTTTTACTTCATTGCTTTTAAGTATAGAAAATAAGACACGTCGGTCTTTACCCAAAATGATTTTAAACACTTTTTATTATTCACCTGTATAGTGGAAAAAGAGAAAGGAAATACATGTAAAAAAAAAAAGAAAAAGAAAAGTAAAATTTTGTTTACAATGGAATTCATCTATGTCTAATTTCTGATTTCTGTACATATAATCATCAAAAAACGTAGCTTGACACACTACCTAAAACAATTTTTGCTAAATTTACAGATGGAAAAAGAAGTCTTGTCATCTAATTCTAAGATTCAAAGTCAGGCTGTGATTGGACATGCAAGTATAACACCTTTTAATTGTGGGTTATGCACCAAAGTGTTCAAAGACTTGAAAACCTTACAGAAACACATTCGAAACCATACAACTGATGAAGCTTTTCAATGTGATTTCTGTTTAAAGAACTTCAGCCTGTCTCGTAACTTAATCAAACATAAAAGAATACATACTGGAGAAAAACCTTATAAATGTGATGTGTGTGGGAAAGCATTCAGCCAGTCACAACACTTACAGACACACATGAGGATACATACAGGTGATAAACCTTATAGATGTGATGTGTGTGAGAAGGCTTTCAACAATTTAAGTAACTTTAACTGCCACATGAAGCTTCACACAGGTGATAAATCTTATCAATGTGATGTGTGTGGAAAGGCATTTAACCAATCACAGAACTTACACAAACACAGACGAAAACATACAGGTGATAAACCTTATAAATGTGATGAGTGTGGGAAAGAATTCAGGCAGACACAACATTTAAAGACGCACATGAGGACGCATACAGGTGAAAAACCTTATAAATGTGATGTTTGTGAGAGAACATTCAGTCAGACAATACACTTACAGACACACATGAGGACACATACAGGTGATTATCCTTATAAATGTGATGTGTGTAGCAAGGTATTCATCCAATTACAGAACTTACAGAAACACATGAGCACACATACTGGTGATAAATCTTATAAATGTGATGTGTGTGGGAAGTTATTCACCTGGAAAGATAACTTAAAGGGACACATGAGAATACATACAGGTGATGAACCTTACAAATGTGATGTTTGTGAGAGATTTTTCAAATATGCCAACGATATAAAAAGACACATGAGGACACATACTGGAGACAAACCTTATAAATGTGATGTGTGTGGCAAAGAATTCAGGCAGACACAACACTTACAGAAACACATGAGGACACATACAGGTGATAGATCTTATAAATGTGATGTTTGTGGAAAGTTATTCATCCGGAGAGATACCTTACAAATGCACATGATGATACATACTAGAGAGAAACCTTATAAATGTTATTTCTGTCCAAGAGCATATTGTAAAAAGTCAGATCTTGATGGACACCTGAAGATACACACGTGATAAACACATAATAAACCTGTTAGATGGGTGATGTGTCGAAAGACACTCAACCGATGACAAAAATTTAAGATCTTCATACAGACATATACTGATTACAGGCGAGAAACATTAGTATTGTGATACTTGTATTTCATAAGATTGAATGTTTTTCTTTAAGCATAAAAATATATAACCATAAAGGGCATATAAAATGATATTATCAAATTGACATAGATAATTCGAATAAAATTGATATTTGCTAATCTGAATTCCCTCTACTTTTCTTAAGTTTTAAGGATATATTAGTTATTTTACATGCTTCCTATATCTAATTTTCTTATTTTTACATATAGTACAGTTGTTACATAAAGGTACAAAATGATACAAAAACTAAAAGTTTTGATGGCTGAACCAAGTTTTACATAGGAATATATAGGAAAAATCTTTAAAAATCTTCTTCTTAAGAACCACTGGGCCAGGAAAGATGAAACTCATGTGGGATTATCCTCAGATAGTGTAGATTCAAGTTTGTTCAAATCATGACCCCTGGGTGTAGGGTGGGGTCAAAATGGCTGATCGAAGGTTAACATAGGATATATATATATATAGGAAAAATCTTTAAAAATCTTCTTCTGAAGAACCACTGGGCCAGCAAAGATGAAACCCATGTTGCATCATCCTCAGGTAGTGTAGATTCAAGTTCATTTAAACCATGACCCCTGGGGGTAGGATGGGGCCAAAATGGCCAATCTAGGTTTTACATAGGAATATATAGAAAAAATCTTCTCAAGATCCATTGAGACAGGAAAGATGAAACTCATATGGAATCATCCCCAGGTAGTGTAGATTCAAGTTTGTTCAAATCATGACCCCCGGGGGTAGGGTGGGGCCAAATGGCCGTTAAAAGTTTTACATAGGAATATATGGGGAAACCTTTTAATATCTTCTTTTCAAGTACTTCAAAGCCATGCTTAGTGATATTTTTAAGAAATCATTCTCAGGTAGTGTAGATCCTATTTTGTTCAAATCATGACCCCCTGGGTGGTTAAAATTCAAGCCCCCCCCCCCCCCCCCCGAAGTAAACTTTCAGTTCTGATCTGATATGTGCTCTCTCCTAGCCAATTGCTCAGGTGAGCGATGTGGTCCCTGGGCTTCTTGTTATTATTCATCTGTATAGTGGAAAAAAGAGAAAGGAGATACATAAAAAAAAGCAAAATTTTGTTTGCAATGGAATTCATTTATGTCTAATTTCTGTTTTCTCTATATATAATCATCAAAAAACTTAGATTGACACACTACTTAAAACAATTTTTACTAAATTTACAGATGGAAAAAGAAGTCTGGTCATCTAATTCAAAGATTCAAAGTCAGGCTGTGATTGGACATGCAAGTATAACACCTTTTAATTGTGGGTTATGCACCAAAGCGTTCAAAGACCTGAATACCTTACAGAAACACATACGAAAGCATACAACTGATGAAGCTTTTCAATGTGATTTCTGTTTAAAGAACTTCAGCCTGTCTCATAACTTAATCAAACATAAAAGAATACATACTGGAGAAAAACCATATAAATGTGATTTGTGTGGGAAAGCATTCAGACAGTCAATACACTTACAGGGACACATGAGGATACATACAGGTGATAAACCTTATAAATGTGATGTGTGTGGAAAGGCAGTCAGTCAGCCACATAGCTTAAAGAGTCACATGATGATACATACAGGTGATAAACCATATAAATGTGATGTGTGTGGGAAAGCATTCAGCCAGTCACAACACTTACAGCGACACATGAGGATACATACAGGTGATAAACCTTATAAATGTGATGTGTGTGGGAACGCATTCAACAGATTAAATGCCTTACAGACACACATGAGGATACATACAGGTGATAAACCTTATAAATGTGATGTGTGTGGAAAGGCAGTCAGTCAGCCACATAGCTTAAAGAGACACATGAGGATACATACAGGTGATAAACCTTATAAATGTGATGTGTGTGGGAAAGCATTCAGCCAGTCACAACACTCACAGCGACACATGAGAATACATACAGGTGATAAACCTTATAAATGTGATGTTTGTGGGAGCGCATTCAACAGATTAAATGCCTTACAGACACACATGAGGATACATACAGGTGATAAACCGTATAAATGTGATGTTTGTGGAAAGGCTTTCAACAATTTAAGTAACTTAAACTGCCACATGAAGCTACACACAGGTGATAAATCTTATCAATGTGATGTGTGTGGGAAGGCATTTACCCAATCGCAGAACTTACACAAACACAGAAGGATACATACAGGTGAAAAACCTTATAAATGTGATGCGTGTGGGAAAGAATTCAGCCAGACAAATCAATTACAGACACACATGAGAATACATACAGGTGATAAACCTTATAAATGTAATGTGTGTGAGAAAGCATTCAGCCAGACAAATCACTTACAGACACACATGAGAATACATACAGGTGATAAACCTTATAAATGTAATGTGTGTGAGAAAGCATTCAGCCAGACAAATCAATTACAGACACACATGAGAACACATACGGGTGATAAACCTTATCAATGTGATGGACATTCTGGTGATAAATCTTTTCAATGAGATGTGTGTGGGAAGGCATTCAACAATTCAGGAAACTTACAGACGCATATGAGGACACATGTGATAAACCTTATAAATGTGATGTGTGTGAGAGAACATTCAGCCAGACAATACGCTCACAGACACACATGAGGACACATACAGGTGATTATCCTTATAAATGTGATGTGTGTAGCAAGGTATTCATCCAATTACAGAACTTACAGAACACATGAGCACACATACTGGTGATAAATCTTATAAATGTGATGTTTGTGGGAAGTTATTCACCTGGAAAGATAACTTAAAGGGACACATGAGAATACATACAGGTGATGAACCTTACAAAGGTGATGTTTGTGAGAGATAATTCAAATATGCCAACGATATAAAAAGACACATGAGGACACATACTGGAGACAAACCTTATAAATGTGATGTGTGTGGCAAAGAATTTAGGCAGACACATCACTTACAGAAACACATGAGGACACATACAGGTGATAGATCTTATAAATGTGATGTTTGTGGAAAGTTATTCACCCGGAGAGATACCTTACAAATACACATGATGATACATACTGGACAGAAACCTTGTAAATGTTATTTCTGTCCAAGAGCATATTGTAAAAAGTCAGATCTAGATGGACACCTGAAGATACACACGTGATAAGCACATAATAAACCTGTTAGATGGGTTATGTGTCGAAAGGCATTCAACCGATGACAAAAATTTAAGATCTACATACAGACATATACTGATTACAGGCGAGAAACCTTAGTATTGTGATACTTGTATTTCAAAAGATTGAATGTTTTTCTTTTTGCATAAAAATATATAACCATTAAGGGCATATAAAATGATATTATCAAATTGACATAGATAATTCAAATAAAATTGATATTTGCTAATCTGAATTCCCTCTACTTTTGTGAAGTTTTAAGGATATATTAGTTATTTTATATGCTTCCTATATCTAACTTTCTCATTTTTACATATAGTACAGTTGTCACTTAAAGGTACAAAATGATACAAAAACTAAAAGATTTGATCGATTACTAAGAGAGAAATAACACTTTTTATGGATTTTTGGCTCAAATCTGTACTTTGATTTGAAGCATTTAAAAGCCAACATAATTCTAGTATGTGTGAAAAATCTTATTTATTTGATATAGTTTGAAACTTAAATTTTCTATTATTAGTCTAGTCTTTGATTATTTAACCAAATTCAATGTTGTATAATAATTTTGAGAGGCAGAAAAGAAGATATTTTCATACGCCACCATTCCGCCAAGAATATAGTCCCTAATTTACAACGCAGTTTACCATTTCTATTTAAAGTAGTACAATTGTGACGAGGAAAAAAAATATGGTCTTTTAAATTTCTTATAACTAAATATATAAGACATATAAGCAAAAAAAAAAAAAAAAATAGGGTCTTTTAAATTTCTTATAACTAAATATATAAGACATATAAGCAAATATACTTTGGATATTTCATTATGTCAGAAATTAGAGGAGTATCTTACCTTAAACTCTTCATGAAATCACCAAAACGTTTCGACAGTTAGTGGAATTTTGCATGATCCAAACGTTTGATCAACTTTGATTATCAGCTGTTTGTATGGGAAACATGCAGGTTTTAGACGAAGTGTGAATTTGGTTGTAGGAATTTCTTTAACCCGCTTTTTGCCATTTAGGTAAATCTACCTTTCTCAATACCATGAATTCACTAGATACACGTCTTTGTCATTGACCGGAAACTTGATAAAAAAAAATTCATGTACAATACCGAATAATCTGACGTTTTATCTGGCTTTTTTTACGATTTTGATATTTTACATGCCAGGAAAAAGTTAGAACCGGTGCCATTACGAAAACTGGGAATTTCACCGTCTCCACCCGAAGTTGATTTTCTATACTTGGGGACCGAATCAGATGCCGAAATCACAATTTATCAATGGCACAATGCTCTTAAAACTCACCAATATCGATGGATAAAAATTACCATTCCGCAATCCGATTCAGAACTTGTACGATTTTAAAATGCATGAAATGAAAACAAATCTCAAAAGTCAGATAAAATGTGTTCATTGGATTATATTATTTCATAAAAGAAACATAAAAACAATGTTGGTGAGTACTAAAGATGTTGTACTAGTGATAAAATGTTAATTCAGCATTTAATTTGGTTTACAAGTATCGAAAATTAACCTCTGAATGCCGCCTGCGGTGGGAGGCGGCGATTTCCCAGTTTCTGTGAGGGCGAGGGTTCTGACGTTTTCCTTGCATGTAAAATATCAAAATTGTAAACAGCCAGAAAAACGTCGGATTTTTCGGACTAGTACAATACGAACTTCTTTCAATGTCCTTGCTTGACATTTATGTTTAATACATGTGCAAGTAGAGTTTATTTGAAGTTTCTAAATTAAAACAGTACCAAGATATTTGAGTCCACTCTTGAAGCGGATCTCTCACACCTGACTTTTTCTGATGTTTGAAATTTTTGACAGTTTTTCAATTTAGTTCATTTTCTTTTTTTTTTCATTGTAAGGGAATAAATATCTTTTAATTTGGTATTTGCGACCGTAAATGCTGATTTAACGGTCGCAAACTGAGTTTTACCGGCGACGCGTAAGCGGAACCGGTAAAACGGGTGTTTGCGACCGTTAAATCAGCATTAACGGTCGCAAATACAAAATTAGAAGTTAAGTTTTTCCCATTCTTATGCAATCAATGCATTTTGTCTGTTGTTTATGTCTTATTTTGTTGAATTTTGTTACATGAAATACGTCACGGAGCATTTTATCTTTGGGTCGCTCTATTATGACGTCACAATGAAAAAGCTTTCACACTCGTTAATGCTCGTTTTACTGCTTCAAACATCAGTGTATCAGTCAATCAAAGAGTGTTTTACAAAACAATTGCATTAGAATGAAATTTTAATTTTTCTTTTGTCTATTTTTGTAAATTTAAACAAAAATTGTGTTGATTTTATTTCTAACTTTCTTGGTTATTATTTCAATATTTTGCAACATTTATCTTTGAAGAGAAATTTAAAGCACTGTGCTTTTAAAAATAAATATAGGAGGGGTTTTAAGAAAATAAATAAAATATTTCAAATATTTGTAAAAATAAATTGAAATACTTTGACACCTTATTTAATCAGATATGGAGCATGCAACAAAAATGCATGCAACAAAAAATAGTTACATGTATACTTTATAGGTGTCGAAATCCTTCTTAACTAACTTATGTGTCTTACGTAAATCGTTTACTTTAAAGGTGCCTGGACACGGATTTGAAGTTAATATTTTCTGTATGATATTACGACTTTAATATTCTAAAATCGTTTCACACAAAAATAAATAAAAAATCTTATTTCATCTAAAATTTATTAATCCTTCAAATTTTTGGCTGGTTTGATTAACACATCCTTCATTTTAACATAGAGCAAAAGTGCTTTTGATAGTCACTTACGCTTTTTTAAATACATTGTTTAACCAAAATTTTGTCATACAATGTTAGTTTATACATTTCTAAGAGCAAATCACACAACAATAATATTTAAATATTAATAGTTCCCTCATATGTTAGGTATGAAAATCATTAAGTTTATATGGAGAATTTAGTAAATACTGAGGTATCCCCCTAAACAATGACAAACTGTAGCAGAAGACCACCCTTAACCAGAAAAACAACTTCTGAATAATTTTATTTTGATATGACTGCACTTCATTACATTTAGATAATTTTGGTTAATGGTGGTCTTCATATTGAATATATTTTTAAAAACGTAAAAATTTTCATCACAAAATTATCTTAAGATTCAACAATCTGTCCTAAATTTATCCATCTAAATACAATGACTTCGTGGCGAAGTGGACTGTAAAATAATGATCGTGGGTTCAAATCTTACTTATGCTTTTTTACTCTGTGCATTTTTCCTGTTTTTCTTTTATAATTTATTATACATGTATAAAAACTGTAAGAAAATATCATAAAATACAACATTACACTTTGAAAGTATATCGGGGAAAAAAGTCCTGAACTATTTTAGTGATCCAAACTCATAGCTTCAGCTTGTTTTATTTTAAAAGTTTTCTAAACATCTTGTTTATAATAAGAGTATTGAACAAGTAAGATATTTTTGTGTAAGAAGGATATGGAGATAACGAAGAGTATTCAATTGCAAAGTCCATAAAACAATACAAAATAAGAGCAAAGCAAACATGGACACCAAAAACATCAGAGTTGGGATCAGGTGCCATAGAGGAGTGAGCATCCCCTCCCGACCGGTCACACCCGTCGTGTGCTCCTTGTCATGATCAGGAAATAACGAAACAAGAGGACAAAGGGTCTTGAATCGCTCTTCTGATAAATTGTACAACCTATCACTTCTATTTGAAGCCTCTAACCCTAAGTATCCTAAGACCAAAGTTGCACCACCTGACAAAGTTTGATGATTCTTAGCCAATAAGAATATTTCTTAAACCTCATTCTTGGAAAACCCAAAATGCATCAACTTACACAGTTTGATTATTTTAAGCCTATAAATACCTAAGATACTTAAATATAGCCATAAAATGCCGAAAATAGGTCACTGTGACCTACTTTTTGGTCGACACACTCCGAAAACCCAAGATGCATCAACTGACAAAGTTTTGATGATTCTAAGCCAATAAAAACCTAAGGTACTTAAATATAGCCATTAAATGTTGAAAGTAGGTCACCATGACCTACATTTTAGTCGACATTTTTTAGAGTCCAAAGATGCATCTGCTCACTAAGTTTGATGATTCTAAGCCAATTAATACCCAAGATACTTAAATATAGCCATAAAATGTCGAAAGTAGGTCACTGTGACCTAATTTTTGGTCGTCACTCTCCAAAAACCAAAGATGCATCAACTCACAAAGTTTGATGATTATAAGACAATAAGTACTGGAAATACTTAAATATAGCCATAAAATGTCAAAAGTAGGTCACCATGACCTAATTTTTGGTCGTCACTCTCCTAAAACCCAAGATGCATCAACTGACAAAGTTTGATGATTATAAGCCAATGAATATCTTAGATACTAAAATATAGCCATAAAATGTTGAAAGTAGGTCACTGTGACCTAATTTGTGGTCGTCACTCTCCAAAAAACCAAATATGCATCAACTGACAAAGTTTGATGATTCTAAGCCAATTTGTACAGGAAATACTTAAATATAGCTATAAATGTCAAAAGTAGGTCACCATGACCTAATTTTTGGTCGGCACATTCCTAAACCCAAGATGCATCAACTCACAAGTTTGATGATTCTAAGCCAATAAATACCCAAGATACTTAAATATAGCCATAAAATGTCGAAAGTAGGTCACCAGGACCTAATTTTTGGTCGTCACTCTCTAAAAACCCAAGATGCATCAACTGACATTGTTTGATGATTCTAAGCCGATAAGTACCGGAGATACATAAATATAGCCATAAAAAGTCAAAAGTAGGTCACTGTGACCTAAGTTTTGGTCATCACTCTCCGAAACCCCAAGATGCATCA